TTATAATTATTATATAATTTTTTATTATTCTTCTATGACTTATATCACAAAGTTGTTAATAGTTCATAACATTATTTTTTATAAAAGAATGAGGAAGAGAGATTGTTAATGCTAAAATAAAATTGTTAGACAATCACATGCTATAATATATCGAAATATTAAATATTTTATGATATAATCCAGATAACTTGTTTATCCGGATTATGTATCATACATATAATAGATTATTATTATATAAAAGCGCTTTCTTCCGAAGCGTATCTGGCGCCTTCAACCGTATCGTACACTCCAAGTTGATTAGAATCTGTTATTATGCATACATACCACGTTTTGATTCTTCTTTTTCGATGAGTATTATTACATAAAAAAAATTCAGTGTTATTTTGTATTGTTCACAAACATTGTTAAATTTTTAGCACCTTGATGTGGGCTCAATTTCTATTGCAAATATAACAAATTGTGCTAAATCTCTCAGTTACCAAATTTTAATGTAAAGAATAAATAAAAATCTTTCTATATTTTCGTGCAACGTACTTTTAAGTCGAGATATTTATGAGAAATGTAGAATAAATCAATTTGGAATAAAGTGCGGAAGTTTATTCTTAGTCGTTACTTGTTCCGGAACATTGATATTAATGATGCTCTCGAAATATATAACAACCATACCTAAGTGAAATGAAAGATGCGGTCTGATATTTCCTGTAGAAAGAGTGAAAGTAGTCGGGCGAGACAGGCACAATAAGATCAACTCACGCTTGAACGTGCTGTAATAAGCCTACCTGATTATGTTCTATAGCTTGGGTAGTAATTCTCGAGCAGAGATGTTATATATGTTTTGACAAAACAGAATAAAAATTTGAAAGTTTAATAGTGCAATAAACAATTACTTAACACATAAACATGTTATCGGCTAAAGTATATGATTGCGATATAAAAAAGTACAATAAATTATGCGATAACCGACTCATACTATAAAACAGTTGTTTTAGTGAACTACTCATTTAACGTGTCACACACACACACACACAAATAGTTTTATTAAGTACTTTATATATATAATTTCTAAAAATATACTTAATTTGCATGATTTTATGTGTCATTTTTTTTTTTTAACAAATCGCTCACTTTTTGTATCGAGATTTAAATTTATTGTTTTCAGTGATGGATGCGGACGGTAAATACACATGGGGCGCATTTTCTGCTAATAAATATTGGTTTGGAGATCTAAATCAATGTCGCAAAATGGAAAATGAGTTCATGGAATGGCAAAAGGATGAAAGAGTCCAACGAAGCAAAGAATTACCGCCCTTTCGCGTCAGCGTGAACTCCATCAATCTTATGTTTGAAATCCTGAAGCCTGGACTAAATGAGGTAATCGGTCTAACAGTTTTTGATAATTTGATATGATCTGAATTACTTTAGTAATTTTAATAAACGAAATGTTAAATATATATTTCGAATATAATAAATTATATATAAAATTACGGTATAACGTTTTACAAGTGTATAACAACTGTAAAAAATATTATCACACTAATTATCGTTTTCTCTTATTGTTTTCATTGTTCAGCAACTGTATAAAAATCTCATCTACATTTCTTTAAAAACCACGTTTTAAAATTTTTGGTATTTTATTCATGTTATCTGTTGAACGATGAGTATAAATGTAAATAAAACAAATAATTCAGAATTCATTTTTTAACAAATGATTCTCATAATTCTCTAAAAAAGTATGATGCAATGATGATGTTATACAATAAAATAAAATTATATAATATTTTTTCGGTATCGCACTTTCACCGATAATAATAATGCATTTCCCAGAAGTAAAAGCTACGCATTTTGTTACTTAATATCGTGTTACATTAATGTAATACGATATTAAGTAACTAAATTAATGTTATGTTAATACATTTTTTATATAATGGACTTATATATTTTGATATATATGATATTATATCACTTTTTGTTTTTCATGAAAGAAATTTATAAATGTACTACTCTCATGATTGCATTCGTAAGAGTAAAAAGTTAAATAGGCAAAATTATTGTTTAAACAAGAATAAATTAAAAAGACAGATTAAATTAGGAACCGTTAAGTATTTTTTAAAATTTGTTTTGTATAAGTTAAAAAATATATATATCTATTGTATATTGAGTATGTACAATAATTGTAAAGTACTCTTATTTTCCAGACTTACAATGTTACGCTTGGATTATGTATGCCAATTGTATGCGACACAAAGGATATCGAGAGACTTTTGTATTTCGTACAAAATCAATCTAGTATAAGTTTACCGTCAAGGATTACCATCAATTACATACGAAATCTTTCAAAAGGATATACATTTTGGGAAGATACAACATTCTATATTTTATTGTAATATTGTATACGTATAGACCATACCGAAAAAGATATTATAGTAAAAAGTTTTCGAGTTAGTCTTTATAGTTATAGAAATGCATACATATGTGTTGCAGAGTTTCTTTCGTCGTTGTATGCGTACTTATACTTATGGGCACATTTTATGATGTTATATTGCGTTATAAAACCTTGCGCAGGGCAAATAAAAAAGATAACAACAATATTACAATCATAAAGGAGTCGAAATCTCTGAGATCTAACGGAAACTTTGATCGCCGAATTACAATCTCGAAATTGTGGACTATGACGAAGCACAACGGTTCCTTGGGTATCTTGTCAAAAAAAAATTATATTGTTCTTTCGTGATAATTTTTTCATGTTTGTAAAAATAGCATAAATTTATGTAAATCGCAAAATCATAAATTTTACAAAATCTTGTCGCGTTATAAGCATTAATAGTTAGTCGAGAATGAATCAATTGGATACGCAATTTATGGTAAAAAATCTATGATAAATGATGATAATATGTCCGAATATTTTTAGATGTCCGCAATCCGAAAGTCGTGCCGAAACCTTTATCGGAGGCATTGCTGTCTTTCAGTCTACTTGTAAATATATCTAAGCTTTGTAGTCTGAATGTCGGTGAGGATACGTTAGCGCCGATACACGGATTAAAATTTTACACGATGCTCTGGATAATTCTGGTACACACGTGCTTGTTAGCTAACGCAGTTTCGGGTACGTGTAACAGCGCGGAAGATAATCAGTTCATGTTACATGCGTTCATCGTAAAATATCTTTATTTTTGTCGTAGACTCCAATATGTTTCGAAGTATAGCGGAAAATGACTTCTTTTATCAGCCCATCGGTAATGGTACATATTCTGTAGACACATTTTTCTTTATCAGGTACGATTAATTTGTTTCATATAGAATGATAAACAAAAGAAAGACAGAAATTTGGGATTGACAATTTTATAATTAAAAAAAAATATATATATATATATATATATATATTTTTTTTAATGATATAACGTATCACACACATACACATACATATAGATTACGCGTGTAATATATAAAATATCGAAATAAGAATGGAAAAAAATGATGAATCTCTGTTTCAGCGGATGCTTGGTAACATTCCTCTATTATCGTACAATGGCGAATAAAAGGATACAAGAGAAAACAATAATAAAGGGATGTCACGGTCAAGTCGTGCAATTTTTGGCAATGATGTGGTACAGATACTTCCGCTTGACCCCGGTTTATCTCTTGGTGATCGGTTTGATTCAAGTGTCGATGAAATGGTATCATGATCACTCCATGATGGAATTAACTGCACTGGATTATAAAACATGCGAGAAATTCTGGTGGCGGAACGCCTTGTATATAAATACTTATTTCGATATGGATGATCGAGTAAGCGCATCTTCGCATGACTTATAAATCATCGAATGCACAATGTTATCAATTTATCTCGGTTAATTTAACAATAGTTAATTTAACAATGAATTCTGTACTGAGTATACATATAACTTTTGAATGAGACGAGAGTTATTTAAATACTTATTTAAATAGAAAAAGAGAAAAAAAGTGTAATGCTTATAACACAGTGTCTTAACATAACAAAGTTTGTGACAAATATTGGATATAAGCGCATGAGCGCACATTGTGAATTTATCACAAAATTATATTGCAACTCATCAGTTTCATATTTTTTTTAAATTAAAATAAATATTAAATATATAAAATATTAAA